CATTGCACCCTAGTTTGTCAATCTGGATGATCAGAGTTTCGTTCTGTCACTTGTCTTTTGTAAATGGGGTCTGTAGTGGACACTAAACAGTATCTCTGTGAACCATCCACATGATCACATTAGGGGGTCATTCAAGAGGGTCACATTTCCTCATTTCCTGGGACACACACACACACACACAAGCCACAGTGAGACAATTGTGAAGCTCTTGCTAATACATTAAACACTGTAAATAAACTAAAGTGAGTGAGTTAAAGTCACTCAACATTAGCCTCAGATTACAGCCAGGTGTAATCCACAGCATCCAGACCCCTCTCTTCCTTCACTGTGGTAAGACAATAGGTGGCGAAAAGCCTTTATGCTGAAGAGACCGATAGAAGAAATGTGCCATAGATAAAGCAGCTGAGGCTTATGCTGATTCAATGGGAAATGAAGTGAAAGGAGTGGCTTATCTGGAAAGTAATTTCCACTGTCTCTGAGGCAGAGGATGACAGCTTTGCCCTTAAAATGATCCAATCAGATCTTTAACTGTGGTAAGATCACAGTCTGGGCAGGATGTGAGCTGCTACCTCTATTTTGAACATGTTATTAGTCTGTGCAGATTCTCAGTCATCCAGGTCATGGTAAGATAAAAAAAACTCTCATCCAAGAGGCTTCATCAGTTCTGCCCGACTGGCGTTGAGTCAGAGATATTTATCCCCATCGGTGGTGTTTCAGTCCTTTGATGGCCAACAATGTCCCCTAACAACTGAGTCATTATAGCCCAGTATCGGTGAGAGTCATTACCTGTCTTTGAACCCTCACCTGTGGAGGCGTCAGTCCACAGGTGAGGGTTCAAAGACAGGTAACGACACTCACCAATACTGGGCTATAATGAACCACTGAATCTTGGTTTTGGAAAAAAAAAGCCTAATATTCTAAATACCAAAATTCATTTTTCCCTCCTCATATTTTTTGATTTTATTAATATACTGCAGGCCAGTTGTAAAGCTTTAGGGGGCTAAATGTAGCCCACAGACTGCCATTTGACCATTCATGATTTAGACACTTGTCAAAACAGAAGCAGACCTGTCCATCTCAATAAGTCAGCATTTAATTTTAATGCTTGTTGGAATTAATATGCTCTACATTGTATGTAGAGTTTGCAATTCATCTGGTGTGGTCTCTTGTACAGATAGTGGTTGCTGTTGTGCTGAACTGTTGGAGATTGTTATCTGAAAGATGTGATGTATAAATAAAGTGAGTTAACATACAACATGTTTGATGTGGTGAGGCTTGACTTAGCAGTTTCACACTGTGAGAAAGTTTCCAGTGGAGTCCACATCCTTTTTTTTTCCACTGCATAAACACTGATCTCCCACAGCTCAGAACAACTACACCAATTTCACATAGTGCCATGTTGCCAAAAGGATATGAGGAAATGTCAGATATTATCCTCTGACAGCCTTATGTAACTCCTGAGCATGTGTCAGGGATAATCCTCTTAGAAGGGAGGAGAGCCGCTTTAATAGGAAAGAACACAGTTTGCCTCTTCTGTACCTTGCTTTTAATAATCAAAATGGAGTTTGTGAGAAGGCCATTAAAATAAAGTAATCCATGCCTCTACTCTCTAATCTATTATTATTAATTGTATGTTCAAAATGACCACACAGTGATAGACTGTAAATAAACAAATTATCTGTCTGCAGTAATGCCCAACACAATGACATTCACAGTGGCATTGTGTTTTTAGACAAAATCAAAACATCTGTCACTTGTACTGTAGAAGGTGATGTAAATTTATTCAAACACTGAAATAGTAAACATTCCCTCTGGTTAGCTTTGAAGAATTGAAATAGTGCTGTCATGAATGCAATGTTGTAAGGATGATTGTAAAAGCCTACTTATCTGCAATTACAGGAATAACAAGCTGGTTGGCCTTGAAGCCAGCAGCATGGTGCACAAAGTGTGGGATGAACTCTCAGTAATATGTGCAAAGGCTGATGGATGTACAACATAGTCAGCGCATCCCCCTTTGTTTAATTAGTGATGCACTAAAACAAAGTGATAACTAATCCAGTTCAGTTTAAGAATATACAATATGTACAAAATGGCCATTTGATTTCAGTACAATCAGTTTGGACAATCAAGTTAATTAATGCTCCTTCACTGAATTCACTCAAAAATATTAAAGAATCCTTCAAACTGTATTTTTCAAGGTATGACTAGGACAAAGTATTTTTTGATATTGCAATGCTTTTAAGTGTAACTAAACTCACTGACTCCCTCTAGTGGTATAAAAAAATTAATGACTTGGCTAACCATACTCAAGAATCTTTATTATCATTAAGCATAGCACAATGAATTTTTTTCCAGCAGCTCTTTGAAGCAGCTCTTGGCTTAAAAGACATATTATTTACATAAATTACACAAAAATTGTGTAAGTCAATATAAAATATGAGCGCCGTTGCCTCACAGCGAGAAGGTTCTGGGTTCGGACTGAAGCAAGATGCATGGACAGGTTAAAAATGTCCAGGAAAACTCCTGCCAGCTGGTCAGCACATAGCCTCAGAACCTGGCCTGACACCCTGTCTGGTCCTGCGGCTTTACTGGTGTTGATCTTCCTCAGGGTGGAACTCACCTGGTGTAGCTGCAGGACGAGAGGCAGGTGCTGTTCCTCAAGCTGAGGGAGTTGTACAGTTCCTCTGCTGCCAGGTGTATCGAAGCGTGCAAAGAAACTATTCAGAGTGTCAGGGAGGGTCGGATCATGGCTGACCTGCTGGTTGTTGCCTCTGTAGTCTGTTATTGTTTTGATGCCTCTCCACATACTCCGTATGTACTTTTTTTTAACTGTAGTTGCCACTGAGGACACTGATGATTTAACCAAAGTCTTTTTTCCCCTAAATTCTACAGTTAAAAATTGGCAAGTATAAACTGGCACCAGCTCCCCCTTTTTGGATGACTTTTGGTAAATAAATAGACATTTAGAGTAAGTGGAGAAGACGTGCCATTTAAGAGTATTGTTGGGAAATTAAACTCACAGAGAGTAAAATTAAAACTTTGCTGAAAAAATTAATTATGATTTTTTTTGGAGGGATTCATGACCACTGCAGTATTTCCAAAATCCTGGTTTCTGCTATTAACTAAATGCAGATTAAAACTGCTGTGAACAGGGCAAAAACCTTTTACTTGACTTGAATTTATATATAATTTGGAAAACAAACTCATTCTGATGCAGGCAAGAGTGAATTTGTTAAGTAGATTTTTTTTTTGTATTTAAATTCATGCAGAAAATTGTAAACAGTGCCATTACATTTTCTTTCCATAAATTGGTCATGAAATGTAGTCTGATGTTCACCAAAGTCACATATCTCAAAAAACACTATAACAGTCATGATCTTTCATCTCTTTATCGAACACACCCATTATACATACAAAGTGATGGTAGAAAAAGTAATGGCAACAGTGTTGTATAACTGGATGAACGACCTTTGGCAACAATAACCTCAAGCAAGCATTTCCTGTAGCTGTGGATTAGACCAGCACAACATTCAGGAGGAATTTTGGACCATTCTTTCTTACAGAACTGCTTCATATTCTTAGGATATCTGGTGTGAACAGCTCTCTTGAAGTCATTCCTCAGCATCTCTGTTGGGTTGAGGTCTGGGCCACTGCAAAAGGTGGATTTTGTATCTCCAAAGCCATTCTGTAGTACATTTACTTCAATATTTAAGATCATTGTCCTGCTGCATCACCCATCTTGTTCTGAGCTTTAGCTTGTGGACAGCCACCCTGACATTAAGCTGTAGGATACCTTGATAAACTTATGAATTCATTTTCCCCTCAACAATGGCAAGCAGTCCAGGTCCAGAGGCAGCAAAGCAGCCCCAAATCAGGATGCTCACTCCACCATACTTCACTGTTTGGATGTTTTCATGTTGGTACATGTTTCTCTTTTAACACCATATTGTATGTAGTGTGTTCTTAACAAACAATTCTACCTTCATTTCTTCTGTCCAGAGGACATTTTCCCAGTAGCATTGTGGAGTGTCAAGGTGGTCTTTGCCAAACTTCAGGTGCGTTGCAATGTTGTTTTTAGAGAGCAGTGGCTTTCTCCATGGTGTCCCGCCATGGATATCATGCCTGTTCAATATTTTGCATATGGTTGACTCATGAACAAAGATGTTCACCAACTCGAATGAATCCTTCAATCCTTAACTGTTACTCTAGGGGTCTTTTTTTAACCTCACTGAGCATTCTGTGTTGTGCCTTTGGAGTGAACTTGGCTGGGATCCCACTTCTATGGAGAGTAGCCACAGCACCAAATCGTCTCCATTTATAGAAAATATGTCTAACTGTGGACTGATGAATATCTAAAGTCTTTGAGATTACTCTGACCTTTTACAGCTACATGCAAATCAACAACTCTTGACCATAGGTCTTCTGAGATCTCAGCCAGTGCTGTTTGTAAATAGCACACTGACACCATTTGAGTGTTTTTATAAGTCAAGGGAGTTCTAAATTACACCTCCATTCTCTTTTCATTGTCTCCAGGTTTGCTAACACCTGACTCCACTTGAAGTTTAGTGACATCAGTAGCCTAATGTTGCCTTTACTTTTTCCACCAACATGTTGTATGTTGATTGGCTGGGTTCAATAAAGTCAAGAAAGATCATGATTGATTGGGTTTTATCATCTTAGAAATATTGTGTTTCTTGATATGTATGACTTTGGTGAAGATCAGATCACATTTCATGACCAATTTATGTAGAAAACCAGGAACTTGCAAACAGTGCCATTACTTTTATTTGCAGTATATTGTATATATAACTACAATGTGTATGTTACTGTCATTTTTCTTTAGGAATATCCTTAAAGGAAATATTAATTTTTGATAACTTTATTCTTTGTATTTGTTTAATTGTATTCTTACCTGAATGGCTTGGTATGGTCATCCCTAAATAGCAGTTCCACTTGACTCCATAAATTTGCTGACAGTGTTGAAGAAAGACACACACAGTCAAGTCAAAGTAAAATTTATTTTAAAATAAATAATGTTTACTACTATAGTTATCAATCTAAATTCAAAGCAAAAGCATTTCTGGTGTAAGCAAGCTGTGGACACACTGCCACAGCTTGGATAAACTAAATCTTTAGGTATTTTTGTTAGATGTATTTTTATTGCACTACACTATAGCAGAGCAGATGGCCTGACATTCATTTAAATATTATCATATTTATTATTTACAATAAAACAAGGAGAATTGTAAACAGGGCTTGTCACTCACTAAGCTCAGAAGAGTTCTTTTCTCTAATCTAATTCAGGATACATGCACTGTAGAGAATCCAAAGTGGTAGAAACTAACTGGAAAAAAGTAGGAAAATCTGCTGCCAAAGGCTCAAGAGGACATCTGTTGTGTGTGCGGACACAAGGGCTCCATGGTCTCTGTGTGACCCTGCTGGGTGAAGTTCGTCTACTGACCACTGGGAGGCGATGGTCTGAAATAGCAGAAGGAAGGTATGAAGGTCAAGGATCATGCAGGAAATCCAACTCCTCTCCTTCATCCTGAGTGCTGCAAAAACAAGCTCACAACCTGGAAATAAGAGAAACTATACAGTAAGGTGTGTTAATGGTGGGAAACATACAATGCTATTAAGCAAATGCTGACATTCTTTGTTTTGTTGTTTGTTTTATTTTTGTCTTATTTTCTATACTTGTATAGTTTTGTTTCATTCAGTTGCAATATTTTATTTAATAAACTAAAGTACAGCAGAAACTGTGATGTAACATGGAATTTCCTTCAAACACTTACTTCTTTGGTACAACTTGATTCTGATCATTTTAAAATTTGTAATACCATTATCAGAGAAACATAACTACATGTGCAGCTTAATATTTGCAGTGCACAATGGAGCAGATAAACATACTGTTCAGTCCATTCCTTACAACTCTGACTTTGTGTTTGTGGTTAAAACCCAGAAAAAAGGCTATGCTGTTTAAATTCAATAAATGCCATTAACTGTTTTGCTCCTACTGCAGGTCAGTGTACACTGCTTCTGTATGAAGAGAAATCCAAATCTTGATCGACCTGCCATGTCTTATTATGGTTGCTAAACTATTAACCGACCAGTTCCTTTTGTAACATTTTAAATAAAATCCCACACTACACATAAACAGAGCTGAATAGCCTTGAAGACAATTTCAGAAACTCTGGCTTTACCAGCAGATATGTTCAAGGTCATTCCTTGTGATGGGCCCTGTCTTTCTTCTTCTTCTCATTTTTCTCCTTTTGCAGTCTCTCCAGCTCAGCCTCATACATCATCTCCTGGATCAGGTATTTCTCCCTGCGCATACGATCCCGCAAGTCTTTTGGAAGGTCTGGAATCAGGTATGCAATCAGGGTCTTGATAGCAAAGACCATGTGCTGTAAAAAGTGAAAAGTATTTTACTACAAATGCCATAGCCATACCTGCACAGTAAAAACAAAATAAACTAAACCACATCCTCAAATTAATGAGGAAATTTATGTCTCACTGTGAGAGAGAAACAGTTAGTTGTTAGAAACTTAAGGGGGAATGAATCCTTGGGAAAGGAGGAGGGATCCATGAGCTGTAGACACAACTTTAACATGTTTGAAAACCATTTCTTATTTACACTTTGAACAGGCATAGAATAACATTATCAGTCATTTAGAGATTTGACATAAGGCAGATGAGAGCAGTGAGAGTGAACCAAAATATTAAAGTTGCTGTCATCAAACCAAAACAATGAGCTGCAATAAAGGAAACTCCAGAATATTTTGTGGTTTGTCACTATAACTGACCCTGTCACATTACACACCATCATTTGATACACTGCTATTATATATTTTAAAAACATATTAGTGCAGCTTTAACCCTTTTTATAACAGTGGCATTTTGAAACATCTTAAACACATTTAAACACGTTTGCATTTTCTTTTTACTTGTGACATTCTGTAGTCTCAAAGATTTTATCAAGATGATTTATAAATGTTTTTTCTTGTCAAAAATAATTTAAAGTAAAAAAAATAAGTTAAGTTAAACCTGCCAACACCTAGGCTAGATTTCATCCTGCAGTTTGTACTGATGTAGCTCCTTCAGTCCACTAATTCATGATTTTTGAAAAAAAAAAGTCTAATTAGATTTACCCTTTTCAAGGGGTACAGAATAATTGACAAGTCTATAAAGTTACTATTGTGAAAACATCATCAGACCTCTGAATTCCCAATGCCTTTATTAGCTTTGAGCAAATTATTTCAAGAGAATGTTAAAGAAGATGTAGGTGGGCAATCATGAATGGAGAAGGCATTGACAAAGCAATATGTAGGAATTCCAATTCCAAACACAGTCTGGTGTCTGGAGTAACTAATCAAAAACAATGATGAATGCCAGCCGTGCTGCCAGGATGTGCCAGAACTGTACAGTATAAGAGTAGGGCTCAGCAGAGTCTTGAGCCTCCCTGTAGTCACGATACCTAGCAAGTTGACATTCTGAGGTCAAAGGTCATCATAAACTTAGCTACCCATGCCATGAATTCAAAAATCAAAAGGTAAGTTAATAAATATTAGTAAAATTCACTGGAGTTCAGCTCAGGAAGCTGAGAAGATCTGTACATGTATCAAATGTTATATTAAGCTCCAAAGTAATGTATGCACTCCCTCCTGGTGTTGCACAAACGCTTGCAGCCAAAGCCATCACATGTTTTCTTTTTTATTGCAGCAGTTACCAGGAGAAAGCTTAATCAAAACCTTTGGTGTAGACATGAGCAGAACTAAGGGGGTGGCACTGGCCGACTGCCATTCAGTAGGGAGTAAATAAAGAGTGCAGCTAAAGTTAGCTAAAGAAATCAGTTTGTGTCTAATTTTTACATAAAATAAAGAATTTGATTCATAATAATGTATGGTTTAATATTTCATAAAGCTAGGGGTTTAAATTGACTTTTTACATGTATTTCAGATGTGCCACCCCTCTTTAAGTCTGTGCCCCAGCCTGGCCACTCCATCCAAGATCCGCCCCTGGGTGCAGAGACCCTCAAGAACTTGCTACCTGCAATATGTAACAGCTTCTCCAAACAGCTCGGAGCCGTTAGTCCTGGGCTGTGATCTCTTCTCAAAATGAGACACTCGGAATACTGAAAGACTGGCCTTAACGTAACCCATCATACATCTGAGGAACACATCAGTAATAATTTATTCAAAACTTACAGCATCTAAAAGCAGGAGTTTAAATACTAGTAACTCAGTCTCCAAAAATACACAATCCACAGTTTTAAAGTAAAAGAAAAAAAATGAACTAACAGGATGAAGAGTCCAGCTCATTGCTAACTAAAACAAATAAGATGTGTAATCAACACTCACCCCTCTCCTGATCTGCCCTGGCCAGTGCAAGGTCCATACCTGTATGCGTAAACAAGGTGAGGGATGAAGTCTGAGGTAACAGCAATGACAAAGGCATTGGTGATAACCGACAAGATGCCAATGCCCTCCAGAATGCCATACCAGATCCCTGACACAAAAACACAAAATTAGACAAGGATTAAGTTACTGTGGAAAAACAGTTTGCAGATAAAAGACATAAGACAAAAGATATAAGATAAAAGGCTCATGTTTTATTCACCTATGTCTTTGGCTTGTGATGGCAGAGGGCGCCGCCACTGTGTGACGAACTTGTAGGCATCTAAACGAATCTCGATGATGTTGTTCAGTAGCGCTTAGAGAGGGGTCAGAGGGAAAGCTGCCACAAAGATGGTGGTGAAGCCAAACTGCAAAACTGAAATCCAGGCACCAAGAGCCTTTTAGGGCACTGTCGCTGCAGATGCTTATCATGGCTAACATGTAGAGGAATGTCAAAGAGTTGTGTGATGATTCTCTGTGAGTTTATTACCATTTTATTACTCAAAATGATGCTCAAAAACTAGTCCATACATTTGTTACTTCCAGGCTGGACTACTCTAACTCTTTACTATCAGGATGTCCCAATAATTCCCTAAAAAGCCTCCAATTAATCCAAAATGCTGCAGCCAGAGTACTGACAGGAACTAGCAAGAGAGATCATGTCTCTCCCATATTAGCTTCTCTCCACTGGCTCCCTGTAAAATTCAGAATAGAATTTAAAATCCTTTTTCTAACATACAAAGCCCTTAATAACAAGGCTCCATCGTATCCTTCTTCTAACATACAAAGCCCTTAATGACAAGGCTCCATCGTATCTTAAAGACCTCGTAGAGCCTTATCATCCTACTACAGAAGTAGTCCACTATCAAGCTCGTCTCCTGTGGAACCAGCTCCCCTCTCTGTTCAGGGGGCAGACACCCTCTCTACCTTCAAGATTAGACTTAATACTTTTCCTTTCTGATAAAGTTTATATAGTTAATTATAATTTTCAAATATAATCCTAGTAGGACATTGAGGGTGGGCAGAGAGGCACTTAGTATGTCTTCCAATATTTCATGGCATTTTAACAACCAATGTGGCTGAACAGGGATAAGACTGACAGCCATCTTGGTAAATGCAAGCAAACAGGGGCCCGGGCTGTTCTGTTGCCACCGAGTATATTTAACTGTACCACTGGTTTTTAGTCAACAGGATGGCCTTTGCTTGGGCCCATGTAGTGATGTCTATGGAATTACTGGACATGCATTCTAGGATAAGTTTGGTTTGGTGTAACATCCCCTAGTTATAGGCATAGGCTGAGAGATGTCACATGATGCTGAGCTCCTCTCCTCTCCTCTCCTCCCACCTCCATTTTATTTTTTTATGCCATCACTATATGTCATTAACTGTGTGTGTCTCCTCTCTTCTGTAGTGTGTCCTCTCTCTCTCTCTCCCTGTACCTTTCTGCAGGTAGCCCGGCTTTGGAGCTCTACGTTTCTGATGAGCAGTCACCGGCTGCATCAATCTGCCCAGTTTTTGATTATTTTTTGTTATGTTTGTTATGTCTTGTTGCCTTTCTTTCTTTTCTCTCTCCTCTATCCACTCACCCCAACCAGTTGAGGCAGAAGGCTGCCCACCAAGAGCTGGTGTCTGTTGGAGGTTTCTTCCGTTAAAGGGAGTTTTTCCTCCCCGCTGTTGCCAAGTGCTTGCTCAAGGGGGATTTGTTGGGTTTTCCTCTATAATAATAATGATAGTAGTAAGGTCTAGTGTCCTGAGATGACTTTTGTTGTGATTTGGTGCTATACAAATACATTTGAATTTGAATTTTTCATTTTCACAGAGTAAATAATTTTTCATTTTTCATTTTATAATGCTGATATTGCAGCTTTAAGCTTGTTTTGTTTGTCTTGGACTGCAGCTACTAGGTCACCAAATAAAAACAAAAATGTAATTGTTCAAAAAATCGTATTATAGAAGACTGAACTGAGCACAATTGGACTAATATAGTGGTAAAAAACAAACAAGGTACCAGTCCAGAGGTGATATGTAATAGAACAGTGTGTGGTTCACATGTACATATTATTTGTAGTAATCATGTATGGGTGAGCTTCTCTTCTCTTCTCTTCTCTTCTCTTCTCTTCTCTTCTCTTCTCTTCTCTTCTCTTCTCTTCTCTTCTCTTCTCTTCTCTTCTCTTCTCTTCTTCTCTTGCTCAAGCAAGAATATCTTGGCTTGTGTCCTTGTTTAATTTATGGGTAAACACCCAGAGAGAAGCCTCCCTTAAATGGGAAGCTCGAATAACTTCAGCCTTAAGTGAACTGTTTGCATGCTCTGTTCATGTTTAGAAAAGGAAATGGGCGCTAGGGCAATGCAACCTAGAAGTCCATAACCTGGACATCTCAGACAATTTCCAGAAGGAGGGGAGTGTACAGGAGGTGTAACCAGGAGAAGATAAAAGTTGGAATAGCTGTGGGTTAGAGAGAATGATGGTGCTACAGTCGTAAGTGTGCATTTGGACCTGGCCGGGTCGAGAGGGGGCCGAACCGAACTCTGGACTCTGACAGACGTGACTATACCTTGTGGCCAACCATGACCGACTGACTCTGTGACAATCTTCTTATTTAATACTGTATTTATTCCTTTGCAGGAGGGGTGATTTTGTTCCTCTGTTCCCTATCTACCAGATTACTGGAGTGTCTCATAAACTTATTGAATTGTTCAGTATTCCTGTGATATTAAATAATTATTTGAATTGAAATAATTTGACTGAATTAATTTAGGTCACATCAGACCCTACCTACTCCACTAACATGTGGCACTAACATTGGAAAAGATTTTATCAGTACTAACCATACAAAAAATGTGTGTAAAATGTGTGTGGCACTTTAAGTAAAACATACTCATCTCCAAGTATTCATCGAAGAGGCCATAAGCATTTATTGGCTGCAGGCTGTAATCCCGCTCCCACTGTGGGAACCTGGCCTTGGTGTTTTGTCCATGCTCTTGCCTCAGTGTCCGCCGTGTCCACCAGTTCTGGATCAGCCTAACAAAACAATAAGATGACAAGACCCGTTGACTCAGTATGGAAACAAGTTGATCCAAATTAGTTATTATTATTCTGCAACCAACATGGTGGACATACTGTACATTGTCATACCTACAGCAATATGCATAGCTGAAAACACAATGAGTTAATTTTGAAGGTTATAACAAACACTTGGAACTCATGGGTAGCCAAGCTCCATAACATTGTTCCACATTTGTTTTAGCACCATGATGATTCCCATCTGCATACAGAGATCAATAAGACAGCCACTGGGGTGGCACTGCAGACAAGAATAGAGTTAAATCAAGCTGTAGCTCTTGCTACTGTTACAGTGACAGTTTAAAAAATGGAGGCCTTCTGCACTGGTGTAGAAAGGCTTGTCATTCTTCTATCTGGATTTGTTGCTTGTCTTTCATTACACAATGTTTCAGTCTTCTTTAATATTTGACCTTAAGTTATGGTGGAGTGTGTCCAAAATATTTATACATGTCAAATTACAGATAATGTTTCCATTTTCATTTCTGCAGCCATGGGAACAAGTGGGAGTACATGGAATCACCAGCTCAGACCTTTTACACCTCAGGCCACTTCAGTCTATGTTATTTCCTTGTGTGTTACCATAGGTACTCCTGCCAGCACACTTACTGCTGCTGGGGGTTAACTCTCTGGTTGTATGCCCTACCACCAGAGAGTTAACCCCCAATTTCAAAATACTTAAATCCATAATGCTTTTCTGTTATGGTCCCATGGGAACATAAAATAATTACTCACTTCTTCCAGTTTCCAGCGATTGATGAGGCGGAGATATGCACCAGGCCGGCCTGTAAATCTGTCAACCAAGGAAGAACATCAACCATTTTAACAATAAAATTGTCTTTGTCCTATGTCAGACAAACTATCAATCCACAGAGTTTTATTGTGAACCCAAAATCATACAATAAAACAAAACAAAATATGGATGCTGTCTCCATTGTTACTCAGATGAACCAAACATCTGCAATTTATTTTATCCAAAGATCTCATTTTGTTAGTGAACTTAATTTGGAAGCACACATTTTAATCATCTGACTTTTCTGTTTATCTTTTGCTTTTTTATGAGTACAATGTATAATGTTTGTAATATGGCATACATCTGAAATATTATTATCGTTGTTACTAAGTGCTGGGGGGAAAAAACAAAATACAATGTGAGAGTTCTTTCTCACCTTCCCAAAAAGAAGGCAATGTAGAAAGTTGAACTGTTGAGGTTGACAAACTGAAAAAGGAACATCTTGAGAGTAAAGCTGTTCTCCCACTCAGCCTCCGTTCTTGGCTGCTCTGTGGACGTACACAGAGAAAACAGAAATGGTAAGAAACTGATACAGTGGAGATATAGATATAACAGCAACTCAGTTATTTTTTACTCTTTCACAAATGCATATAGCCTGACATACTGTACTTTGAGCCAGCATCGATGTACAGCAGTAAAGGCTCCATTAAACATACCTTTAACCCCCAGCAGCAGTAAGTGTGCTGGCAGGAGTACCTATGGTAACACACAAGGAAATAACATAGACTGAAGTGGCCTGAGGTGTAAAAGGTCTGAGCTGGTGGTTCCATGTACTCCCACTTGTTCCCATGGCTGCAGAAATGAAAATGGAAACATTATCTGTAATTTGACATGTATAAATATTT